GCATCGCCCGCCCCCCCGGCCGTCTCGCCCATCATCAAGAACGCCGTCTCGCTGCCGCAGCTCAACGAGGGGACGTACGACGGTGGCGGTGGCCGGGGTTTGACCAGCAAGTTCTCCTTCAAAAGCGGCTCTAACAGCTTCTCCAGAACGCACCAGGCATACGGTGAGTGAAGCGCAGGGCAGGGGGCTGGTCCCCAGGCTCTGCACAGCATCTGCAGCCCTTCTCCATCACTCCGTGCCTCAGTTTCCCCACTGAGGGCCTTCAGGCTGTCCACACAGACAGGACATTTAAGAGTCCCCTGTCCTGGTAGTCCCACGGGGAGTTATCCCTAATCTTGCTTTCAAACATGGTCCTTGGTCCTACCCGTGAAAGGTCTCCTCCCAGGGTGCCCCCCAAAGTGGGGCATGGATAGTTTCTCCTCCTCTCCCTCCCCTACAGTTCCCCACAGCTGGCAGTCCATGTGGAGTAGCTGTGAGGGGGTGCTCCACCCGTCTCCCATCAGCCTCCCTGAGGAAGCCAAGGGGGCACTGGGGCAGTGGGGCAATGCCGACACCGAGGTTGCGAGGTCAAGGGGACCCATGGCACAGCCCTCCACGCCTGTGCCAACCCCTCCATCTCCATGTGCTCCTCAGGGGTGTCCATCCATCCCCCCATGCCAGCTGGGGTCCAGGGGGTACCTTGGGGGAAGGGTGGTGGGAAGGACTGGGCAGGACAGCTGGGCGGCTTTTCTCCAGCCTCACTTTTCCCCAGGGAAGGACGTTTGGAGCAGAGGGTCTCCGGATGGACCTGGGGTGGGGGGGCTGCTGCAGCCAGGGGATGTGGCTGGGCTCAGAGGGAAAGGCAGGCTGAGACAATGCTGCCATCTCCTGGTCCCATCTGCCTGGCTCAGCCCCCACCAGCATCTTACCGAGCCCAGAGCCCACCCGGAGACCCTCCACTGTAGCTCTGAGCTTTGGAGGTGTCCACACAGCCACTGGGAACATGCCCTTTGGTGGCAGTGTCCCTTGTCCCCCACGGATGTAAGGCAGGATCCTCCCACCTAGCTACCCCTTCTCACCAGCCACCCCTTCTGCCTTGCAGGGCTGGAGTCCGGGTTTTGCACCATCCCTCGCGTCCCTCGCCTCGAAAAGGCCCAAGAGAGCAGCTTTCCCGGGGAAGCAGAGCTGACGCGCTCGGACTCCCTGCTCTCCTTCCGCCTGGACCTGGGGCCCTCCCTGATGAGCGAGCTCCTCCAGGTGATGAGCTTCTCCGAAACCAACGGGAGCGAGGTGGGGGAAGATGGCCCAGGCCTCCCGTGTGGCGAGGGGACCAAGGATGGGGTCCCTCCAGCATCGGGTGCATCCCATGGAGAGGACAAGGCAACGTCCAGTTTCTGGGACCACTCTGGGCAGAGCAGCCTGTCGGGGGCCAGCTCGCTGCCAGGACTGTCAGCCCACGCCAATGGAGAGGCACATGCCATCGAGGGGGCTGGAGAGGACCCTGCCTGGGCTTTGGGGCCGGGAGCAGCGCCCAGAGGGACCCCGTGGCAGGGGCACTGGAACGACTGCACCATCGAGGCGGGAGAATTTGACCGGGCGGCCCAGGTCCTGGCTCGCCATTACGGTGGGACCAGCACCCCGCGGAGCTCGGAGAAGGGCGAGGGTTTCCGGCAGGCCCGGACACAGATCCCGTGGGAAAGCCCCAGCAGCAGCTCATGGCGGTCACAAGTGACAGGGGAAAGCCAGTCCCCTGAGGCCACCTGGAACCAAGGAGAGGAGGAGGAGGAGGAGGAGGAGGAGGCGACCAAGCTCTCCAGCCTGCCCAAGGGCTATGCTGGTGTCCAGGGAGGGCGCAGCAATTCCTTCGAGTATGCCGATGAAGAGGAGGATGATGAAGTCAAGGTGTGAACGGCCATCCCTCCCGGCACAGCCCCCTGCCAGAGGCACTTGTGCCAGGGTTTTCGCCCTCCTCCCTCTCCCACACCCTCAGGCGCCAGCGTCACCGGCAGACCCAAAGGACTGCCTCCTTGCCAAGCTGGGGCTACTTCGGGGAGGGTCGGGGGAGGGTCGGAGGGGGCAGGAGGAGAGCCTGTCTCCTGAGGGACAACCTGGGGCTGGGCCAGGCTGTTGTGGAGGCCCGGTGAGGGCTGTGCATCAGAGCGCCAGGCATCATGGCCCTTCCCTGGCCTCACCACCATTGACACCAAAGGGACGTTCCCATGTGCCAAAGAAACCCCAAACCTCTTTCTACCCCATCCCATTCCCCTGGCACCCTCTCTCCCATCCCTCAGCCTGCCCCTCTCCCCAGGACATGCCCTGTAGCCCCCAGATGCCCTCTGCGCTGGCTGGGTACCCTCCTGGAGATATTCCCAGCGATAGCTCCAGCACACATGGGATGGGGGTCTCTCCAGCTCCAGCTGGTGCAAGACCCTTCCATAGAGCACATCCATCTACCACGGGAGGTCAGCTGGGGGCCCAACAAACAGGCAACGCCACCAAGAGCTTTTTCTTTTCCATCCCGCCCAAAAAGCCATGAGCTCAGCATTCAGGAGGCACGAGCACACACTGAGATAATCGCAGGGGTCTTCCGCTCGCCTCCTGCTGCTGAGCATCACTTAGGCTGGCTCCTTTTCCAACCCCCAGCCTCTCACAGCTGGAGGGGAGAAACTTCTCGACCGGCTGGAGGCAGAGATGAGGTGGTCAGGTCACTAAATTCTCCAGTTTGGGCCCTAAAAATCCCCTTCTTTTCACCCCCATCTCAGAGCAAGGAGACACCCATTCTGCAGCTGCTCAGTTTGGGCCACCTCTCGCTGTTCCCCACGCACACACCCCTCTTTCCAGCGTGCTCCTTCCCAGGGGTACGTGTGGAGGACGGCGAATGCCCCTCGCCGAGTGGCTCTGGGCGGTGCGGCCGCCCTGGCACCAGCTGCCCCCCACGCTGCCCCGCGTGCAAACTGGCCCTCACAGAAGCTCCTTTGTGAAGCCGGGATGCTCGGGGGCTGAGGTCACTGGAGGGACCCTCACAGGACCCCCCTTGTTCTCTGGGACAGGAGGGGGAGTGCAGCAGGGGGAAATGCCAGGCTGTGGCTGCAGGCCTCTGCTCCCACACAGCTCACCCACTGCCCGGCTGCTTCTGGCAGGGAGCAATTCAGAGCGCAATAAAGGGGCTGCGGCGTGCACGCGCGTTCTACGTGGGAGTGCCGCTTGCAGCCAGGCTGTCCATCGATGTTTAGGGGCAAGCCCACCTCCCCCGGCAGCTGCCTCATGCTGGCCAGCAGCAACAAGCCGGGGCAGCCCCAAGGAGTCCCCAGAACTGGCCACTAGCACCCAGCAGGATCAGCCTTATCACCCCTGCACTGTCTGCAGCAGGGACACTGGCTCTCAGGGTGAGCTCCTTCCGCTTCCCAGACCGTAACACAAGCTCCAGACCAAAGATCCACATCTGTGGAATATCCTTTCTGCCTCCATTCTGTACCCCATGCACTTATTATTGTCCTTATTAAAGCAGTTTTGATACTAACTTCTCTGGTGCCTCCCCTCAGCTGCAGCGACCTCATCGTCTTCCTTCCCACGTCTGCTGGTGCGTTAGCCATAAAATACCATCCTCTCCCCTCTCAGCAGGATTTTCCAGCACTGCTGGGATCCCTAGGATAACTAGCCTGGTACTTTGCTGCTCACCGTGGCTAACACACAAAGCAGCGTCTAATCCACCTGGCTCCGCATAGCACGCTGGAGGGTGCAAAGCTTCCTCTCCAGCCCAGCAACAATCCGTTTGCAGCCTGAAGAGGATGGGTACCCTTCCCAAATCTGGCTTGGCTGCGGCCCTTCCAGCCCGTCAGACATCCTCTGACTCTGCGCTCAGGCAGCGGCAAATCCCACAGGATGGGTGGTGAGGAAGCGGAGAGGGTGGGCAAGGGTGCTACCACCTTCCCTTGGACTGGGGTCTCCGTAAGACGTTCTACTCTGCTCTCCTCCCACCCAGCCTCAAGTGCCCAGTGTTGGCTGTCACACATCTGTCTCGCCGAAGGCTGGAGGGACACTTTCTAATTAGTGTTGCAGCATGAGGTAATCAGCACTCATTACCTCTAGTCCCGTGCGAGGGACAGGGACTGGGAGGTGCTCAGCACCATAACCCAGCCCAAACTGCCTTCCCCTGCCTCAATTTCCCCGAATGGGTTTCAGTGTGGAAATGCTGGAGTAATGGGTAACCTGGCTGGAATGCGCCAGCAGATAAGTGAGGTGAGATAAGGGGAAAGTCCCAGGAGACAATTCTTTATAACCAGCGGGAACATTGGCTTTGGGGCCCCCTTGAGCTGTGCCACCGCTCCGTGTGGTACCATTCCTGTGGGAGGGCAAGGCACTCCTTCCTCCTGCCCCAGGCTGGGAGAGCAGCCAAGAAGAACCATCAAACCCATGCCCTGAGATTCCCAAACCTAACATTTAACTGCGCTTTTTTGGCACTAGATGCCACATCGCTCACGTCAAACACTTTTGTCCCACTCCCTCCAAAAACCTCTTGCTCCCCTCCCTTTCTCCCAAAGACTTGAGTGCAGGAAGAAAAGGTGAATTGTGAAAAGATTAAACAAACCCTTCCCAGAGAAAACACAGTGCCCCTCTCCTCCTGAACCCCACCTACGGCCTGCTTTGTCCTACGTACTGCCCATTTAACCCCACATCCTGGCCTGACCCCAAAAAGCACCCAGCAGTACCTAAGAGCTCCTGCCATCCAACAAGGGCTCCTCCCCTGTTGGTGGAAAACCCATGGGCTGTGTAGGTGTCTCGCACAGAGCCCCAGAGACAGATCTCACAGAAGCCAAGGCATCAGGAGCTGGCAGACTGCCACTTCTGATGTTTTTTTATTGGAGCTGGGGAGTGTTGCCCATCAGTCCAGCTTGAAGGAGGTGACCCTGAAGTCTCCGATGACGTTCATGTAGCCGATGTTGTGGTAGTTGTGCCGGTTGGGGAAATGCACTTCATGCCCATCCGGTAGGGTCACCCGGAATTTCTCTGCCATCATCTCAATGATGAACTGGGAGAAGAGAGGGGAGGAAGGGCAGGAATTGAGGACAAGGAGAAAGTTAGGAGGTGAGCATCCAGGCGAAAGGCCTGACTGTTACACGTGAGAGTCCGACCTGGTACTGACAGACTGAAGCAAGGTGCTGGGGGTTGAGCTGAGGGTGGAGCAGGGAATGAGTAGTTGATATCAAGGGTCTGAGCTGGTACCTAGACTATGACCTGCTGACAGGATCTCTCCTGGGGCTGTTTCAGATGCTCAGGTTGTAAACACAGATTAAACCCAATTGTGTCTTGACACGCTACATGGCTTAGATCTGCTCTGAACGGTGCAGAATAAACCCCACACCCCCATGCCCTCAGCAGCTCACCAGGACCTGGAAAAAGGAGCTTCACTGATACACTCACAAGCTGACAGGATGAGAACGCAGCACTGATCACTGCAAATGCAAGATATCACTCCCCAAAGCCATCACCTCGACACCCCTTCCCCAAGAGCCAGCCATGACTGAGGAAACAAGCTTCTTCTCCGCAGCAACAGGAACAAGACTGCTCCTAAACACAGCCCCATGAACGTCTTGGGACATCAGATGGGGTGACACAGCAACTCAGGGAGCATCCCTGGCAGGAGGAGAGGGAGGCTAGATTGGCAGCGTGGAACCAGGAATAGTGAGAACAGAAGAACAGAAGGAAGAGGTTTTTGGACATTGCTCCCAACCCTGTGTTGCCTTAAAGCCTGTGTTATCAGAGGAGGGAATTAGGGAGAGAAACGAGGCAGAGATGAGCAAGATCCTGCTTCCTGGAGACTCCTTTTGCTTTCGTACATGCCTGTACACCTTTCGCACGCTCACCTGCTGGGTGGGTATGGGGGGCAGGAAGCACTTACAAAGCCTGAGACAGACAGGGCTCATGCAAAGTTCCCAGAGGAAACGTTGGGGTTTTGAAGGAGGGGTGGAAATGGCAATCAGGACCAAAAACCCAGAGGATAAGGGGCTGTTGGGATGGAGCAGGAGGCATTGGATGAGACTGGGAGGACTGGGGGATGGGAATCTGCCAACCAGGAGCTTCCCCTCACAACCCCATGCTGGAACAGACCCCTCACCTTGACAGTGGAGCCCTTGGAGAAACAGAAGTGGTGATCACGATACTCCTCCTGCCAGGCATCGGAGCACCTGGAGTTGCAGACGATGACAGACTCATCGAAGCGAGGATTGAAGTGAAGTGCCAGGTTCGCGAAGCTGCTGCCAAGATTGATGCTGAACCTGTGGGTGAAGAGGAGGAAGGTCAGCCAAACGGACAGGAAAGGGTCTTGGAAGATCCAACACATGGCTCTGCACCCAATTCCTCCATCAGCGTTGTCAGTGCTTAACGCCTCCCTTTTCCTCATTCCGCCTGGGAACCAGGGGAGTAGTGGTGGTGTAGGGGCTTCCCTAACGGAGCTATACTCATGCTTTTTGTAGCTGGCAACCTTGGAAAACCACCTCCCTCTGCACCTCTCCTTCAGTCCTGGCAAACTGAGGCAGTTTCTTGGCACTTACCTGTAAGCATTATCGGGTATTTTGCCCTTGACCTTCAGGGTGTCCCCAGTCTTCATATCCAGGTTTAAGATTTCAAATTTATCCTAAGGCAGAGAGAAAAATAGTCTGTGAGGCTCCTTCAGCCATTCCTCCCCTGCTACCCCAAGTGAGAAGGTGCTCCAGCCAGGAGAACATCTACTGCTCCTGGCTGGTGTTCCTCTCATGGCCAAAACCCCTCTGTGCCGGAGGTCTTGCAAGGGCCTCTCACTCAGTGAGGGGAGAGTGGGCTGAGTGAAACCAGCAAGCAAAAAAAAAAGGACATCAGAGAGAGAGAGAGGAGATGAAAACAGGCTTGTCCTCACCAGAAGGAAAGGAGAACATGACAGCAGAGGTTCAAAGAGGATTAAAGCAGAGGGGCACATCCCAGGGTTTGGTGGTCAGCATTGCTTGCAGCCCAAGAAATGCAAAGGGTGAGAGCAGTGGTGGCTGTGGCTTGCTGGTCCCCTGCTCAGCCGTGCTGAGTGGGGGACCCTGGGTGACAGAGGATAGGAGCAGCAGCCCTTACAGACATCTTCCTCAGAGGACAGAGTAGCCAGGCAGGGAGCCACCAGCAGTTCAGCACAGAAATGCTACCCGCAGAGGACTGTGTCCCTAGACCTCCTTGCGGTTTATATATTAACAGCACCCGCCTCTGCCAGGCCCCACCAACTGCAGTTAAGCCAGGAAAGACTTTGATCCGAAGAAAGAGTTTACTTGTGTAAACTTCCTCTTAGAAAGGACTTCAGGGGAATTTACCAACTCCCAGCCTCCCCTGGGGGCTCTCAGTGGAAGGACCACTTCACGCAGCCCTTAGCGGTGCTACTCCAGCCACCACACAGAACAAGGGTCCTCCCAGCTGGCCAGGGAGGTATGACCGCCGTGTTCACTTCTTTTCTGCGTGTAACAGCTCAGCCAAAAGAACCATCCCAGCTCCTTCATTTTGTGGCTGGGAGGCAGCCCCCAAAATCCACACCAGCACACCAAAATGGTCCCCACCATCCCTCCCCACAGTGCTCTGAGGAAGGGCTCCAAAGGGCTCGGAGAAGACAGCCAACACACCCCCTCTAGGTAACACACGTTATGAACAGTCCTTTGCAGGAATGACATGAGTGGCATCCCAGATCCTTCCCTTCCTGTGGCTCTAGATTCAGCCCCAGCTGCATGGAATGCACTAGCAATACGTGGGAGCTCTCTCCCATCCAACTCCACCAAGACCCAAACCTTTTAGCTTGAGGAGCCATGCACATCAATAACCCCATCCTCCCTAACCCTGAGGCACGGAAATGTTAGCATAGAATCACGGAATGGTTTG